TTCAAATGGGTCACATATTCTCTGCCATTTCCGAAAAGGTTTGCTCTGCCTTTGTCGAGTGGTTCGGCAGCATGTCCTCTTGCACGTGCATGGCTTTGAATGATTAATACCTGTACAGTTTAATTTTAACTCTGGTTGTTTTAGTTTTGGGAGCAGCATGACAGTGACGGTAACGGCGGTTGTATCCAGTGTTCATACATCAAGCTGTGCTACAACATACTCCTGCTGTCCTGTCTAGCAGAATATGCATGAGATGTTTGTCTGCCAAGCACCTGCAGAGAACCAATTGAGCCTGGTAGATGGAGGCCTCAGGCAGCAGGTGGTTTGAACAGCTTTGATTAGTTTGCATGTCCAACTACTGATCAAGTCTTTGAGGACTTCCAGTTAGAGGAAGCTGAAAGTTTCCCTCATCTATGCCACTTTCAAACAGCAGCATCTTTTACCTGCATAACAATTTTTTGTAATCAAACTATGAAAGTAAGTTGTTAAATCCAACGTCTGTCGGCGCGCTCATCCTCAGCCTGTACATGCTACACTTTCCCAGTTTATTGGCTTTGTAATGGTGCCGATTGAGGCCTGTTTACTGCTGTTAATAGCTTTTATGCTGATGTTTTCTGTAGCCTCGTGGAGCTTATTAGGCAAATGGTGCAGGTGCAATTAACTAACTGCATGTACAGAGACAATTAAATTAGATTAGCAATTACATTAGCACTACATCAAAGATCTCCATGTTAAGTGCTTCCACTTAATGACGCAGGCTGCACTTTCATGATGGGTCACCTCCAAATGGACAAAAATACAGTCCTAAGGACCCGTGAGTGGGATGACAGATGGCCTGTTAGATAAAAACTATTTAATTTGGTATTTAGATTTTGTTGCATTTTCATAATTGTATAACATTTAAAGGCACAGTCTCTTAACTGTAGCATTCAATCCTGCTCTTCATTATTCAGGTACCTGTAAGACAAATTTAATATTCTTGCATAAAGCCCGAGATCAGCGGTCATACGAAAAAGAATAAATATTCTCTCATATCATAATTGATACACGTGGTTTCTGAAATGTTATGCATCTGAGACCTTTTGCATAATTTAATATTAAAAACTACTCAAAACCCTGTTGTAACAAATCAGATATACACGATAACAGCAGGCAGAAGACTCCACAACACTAATAAAATAAAACAATCATGAATATTCAAATATTAATTCTGTTTTTTTACCCATATTTTGCTAACTGGCCAAGTAAAAACTTCAAACTCTATTTTTTCTTGGATCAGGCTTTAATGGGTTAAGAAAACACTATTTTAGATGCACGGCATTGCTGATGCTGTGCATTGTTTTGGGTAATAACACGTCTCACCAGAAATGAAACAGTTAAAAGTAAACTCCTATGCCAGTTGTAAGCTCCTCAGCATTTAGCCTTATTTTTCCTTAAATAGAAATGAACCAATGACGTGTCCCATGTTGCAGTTCCATTTCATTTTAATTTGTTTTTCTCGTTAGGAAAATAATTGCCATTGAAATGTAACAAACGCTTTCAGCCAGACTGTTGAGTACCACCTTCTTTTTCTTCACATCATCCAATCAGTGATTCCTTCACGTGTGAGGAAAAGTTTAATCAGCAATGATGATCCTCGAGAGCAGAGGTGACTCCCAGCAGATGTTTTGTACCAGGTTATTTCCTGTTAAATTAAGTAGGAAATGCACCTTTGCCTCCTCTAATCTGTTCCCTTGTTCTATAGTTAGCAGTGAGTGATTAGCTTTACACATCACTCAACAGGCTTTAAACATGAAGCATGAGCATCATGTTGTATCCATATATCTGTTATGTTGACATAACAGATATTAGTGCTGTTGCATATCAAAGGAAATTCCTATAAATTGTGGTCTGAGCCAAACTCATATCCACAACATCAAACTTTCAATAGATATCCTAATTTTTTCCTATGAGCTAAAGGGATCAAAACAAAATGGAGACGGTCCAAACACCACCAGCATCTGCAATGAACGAAAGTGGTGTTTACCGCAGCCAACAGTCTTATTGACTCATTACAAATTATCTACACACAATGTGGCAGTTTCCAATCCAATGTGGCGTGATCTACAGCTATGATAGAGACTCTAAAGCCTAACTGTGTACTCGAGGTATGATACTCTAACCAGTAGCTCTGCACAAAGTTTGATGTTAATACAGAGAAACTGCTGTCAGCTTCACAAGTCTAGTTAGCTTATAGGTTTGTGCCCTTCTGTAAGTGGTTGAGGAAATATTGATCTGGGATTCGCTGTTAGAGCCAACTGCTAACCGCAATTACACATATACAGTTATCAATAAGTGCCTCACACACACACACCGTTAACACACCCAAGATATCTCCACGTTTCCAGTCACACACACACAACACAATCTATTGATTTTACACAGGAAACATGGATAAAAGAACCAAAGAAAGCCAGTTTTTATAAAGAGTTTCCTGAAGTGATGGATGGAATCTGTAGGGGCTAAAAGCCAACAAAAAGATGTGTACTGCACATACACCCATACAAAGGCGCCACATTTGGAGTCTGGTGGGGAAAAGCTGCACTTGTCATGGGGCAATGGGAAAGCAGGTAAAGCTGACTCGAAAGTTCTGGGAGGGATTTTTTTAAGGCTCAGGTAATTGCCGTTGATCTGCAATGAAGATGAAGGGTTAGCCGGTCAATGGAATGGTTTGAGCTCAGGTCAGACTCAGCAGACTGCTTCACCACTGATACAAATGAAGCAGCAGAGGCTTACAGGGTGAGAGTATCAGAGGATGAATGCCCTGGATGTATTTATTAACGCACAATTAAACAAGCTTTCACTTGCCCCTTGAGCAGAAGCAATTAAGTGGGACTTGTTAGAGAATCTGGCTCATTTATGCCACATGCAGTCTGAACAATCTCATATTTTGTTTTCCTTTTTGTGTCTCCTCTGAACATCATTTTCATTAAAAAAAAATCATTCAAACCTAATTATATCCAAATTGCAAACATTCACAAACTTGTTAGTCACATTTCAAAGCCTAACACAGTATAGATATGTCTGTGCAGACTTCAGCGTTTGATGGTTGTTCTGTGGTTTGTTTGTGAATTCATATATCACCTTGCTCCATAAATGGGTTTTCTTTTGTCAAAGCCTTCCTTGAAACGCTGTAATTGGTGTGACTGTAAAGTCCCACTTGATTTATCTTGCTCTTCAATGCCATCCAGTCCAGCTTTCGCAGTGATGAGAAAACATATCAATCGGTCACACTTCTTCCATCTTCAACATGTTCCCTCGTTGACGTGAAAGTGGAAACTGTAAAGAAGTTTACTCTGAGTCCGTCATGGTCTGTGTTTTTATGTCTTGGCCCATTGGTTCTTATATCACGTTATTTCATTCAAGTTCATTTCTGCCAGTTATTTATCTCCTGAGTTATCTATCTTCCTGAGCATCCCTCCTTATCTTTGTTGAAGCTTTACTTCCACTCTGTCTTCACAGCAGGTCTTTAGGTTTGATTTCCACACCATTCGTTGTATCAGGTTGTAAAGTCCTCTTTGTATATGTCCTCCAGGATTTGCTCATTCTGTGCGAGACCATTGTGCTTGCATTTGAAGTGGCTGGCTTCTCAGTGTCTCAGTTATAAGATGGAAACATTCTCGGTTCATTATGTCAGAGGGTGAACAGAACAAGGTCCTGAAGTCTTCTGTCAGTTTTATGAATGAAACACGGTTATTGTGGACGTTGAGCCAAAAGCTGTATTTTACTTCAAGACCCTGAAATCAACACAAGTATTTGTGTTTTCATGCATGAGATTGAGAAAATGATTCTACTGCATTACTCTCCTCAAACGCCATGAAGCGGGTATCATTTTGGGGTCAGGGAGACGCTAATGGATGGGAACATCTGTTACACATGGTGGTGATAATCATTAGAAGACGGTGGGTGGTGGAGGTGGCGGCAGTTTGTACAGTTGGAAGGGCATTGCCATATGCTGTGGCATCCTGGTTTCATGTCAAAATGCGACTTCTGGGCCATCCTCCCACAGCATGCCATGAATTATCAGATACCAACACTGTTTTCACAATGCTTAGAAAAATGATTATCCAATCCCTATGTGGCTGCCTGAACATGCAGTCAGTGGGGCAACAAAACCTCTGCCTACCTTCACTCGGTACTTATGAGTTATGATAAGTGTCTATGAAGACATTTTTCATTCAAATTTCATTTAGCTCTTGTTATGCGGCAGCATTTTTCTTACTTCAAATGTTTTGAAGAGACTTGATTGACCTTTTTGCATTCATAATCAAGATTTGGACATATGAATATGTATGCACTTTCAGCGTTGACATATTGTGCTGAGTCATCAGAGTGGGAAGGATACTGCTTAAATGTCAGATGACTGAAGTTTTGTTCAAGATTTTCAATGTATTAACAATGTACAAATAAAGTATTTTCTATGACTTATTTTAAGATTCATGCAGTGTAGCAAAAAAAAAATATCATAAGAACTAATTACCAATACAAAAGTGCATCTGTCTCTTATTTCTTACTGTTTCTTACTGGAAGGCTTTAGTTGTATTATTTCAAAAGGCATAGAAGAAAAATCAGAGAGGATATTTTTGAACCAGCAGCTGTTTAGCTTTTTTTTGGCTTATTTATCAAACAGATTTACCCAAAAAAGAGTTTACTGGCTATGCAATTTACATAAATTGTGTGATATGAAGACATTTCCCAAAGAAAATAAGGCACGATGGCCAAAATTATGAAACTTAGTCTCCAGAGACAGTGTCCGCTGAGCAGTGTTTTTTCTTTCTTTTTCTTCTTAGTCTTTGTGAATTTTCCAAACTCAAATTTTCCATTAACGCTGTTTCTATTGTTTCCATTGTGATTTGATTTTAATTTCCCAGTATGTTTGCCTGTGTTCAGAAAGCTTATTAAACTCCTGTGCAAAGGTTTGACTCTTTTAAACGTATACCTTCCTTCTTTCTGCTGTGTAGGTGTGGCAGTGTGGAGGGAGCATGGAAGTCCTGCCGTGTGCCAGAGTGGCACATATCGAGCGCACCAAGAAACCTTACAACAATGACATAGATTATTACGCTAAACGCAATGCCCTACGGGCGGCCGAGGTGTGGATGGATGAATACAAATCTCATGTCTACATGGCCTGGAACATTCCCATGAATGTAAGAATTTCTCTGTCTTAGATCTCTCACTCGCTCAATCCCCGGAGCTCCTCGTGCTCCCTGCCTCACATCTCACTTGCTCATTCAGACTTGCAGCCCGTCTCTCCGGAGACACCAGTCAATAGAAACTCAAAATTCAGATTTCATCCCACTTGACCTTCACACTGGCAGTAGGCAGAGCCAGAAAAGCATTTGAATCTCAGCGCAATCAGAGAGCGGTGCACCACCGAGGAACACATGCCTAGTGTCTAATGAAAATGTTCACGCGCATCATTTTAGCTTAATTGCTTTCAAGGATCTTTTGAGATGGGTTGGAAAGTACTAAACAGATGTTTTTTTATTAATAAATGCGTTAATAGGGAATCCTAATTTCCTCCTTAACCTCTCAGACTGAGATGATTATCAATGAAGGACACCAGCAAAGGCGTATTAATGCTGAAAAATAAAAAACAACACGCTAACGTTCCAGACAAACTAATAGCCAATGTCCTGGAGTCACACACACAAACACACACACACACACAGCTCTTATATGCAGATGACAACGAGATGTCGTCATAAATAATGACCAAAAGATAGAGGGAGATCAGTCCCAGCCGGAGAAACATGGCTGTATGTGTGCAGCATGGAAGAAGTTGCCGTGGAGATGGAAGGTGACACATTCGCCAGTGCTTGAGTGTTATTACAAACATAATGGCGCGGCATGTTATTACCCCAGCTGTCCTGTGGCGCAGAGTTATTTTATGTACAGTAAAGACTTAATCCCCTCCAAACCCACCCATACCCACTCCCAGACTCTTGTTATTGTCTGAGGTGCCTGCTGAGAGCACAATTACTTTGGATGGGGGAGGGTTTATGATTCTCCACGGTGAGCAGGCCCCAAATCCAAATGCCAAACAGCATCTCGCTGAAATTGAATGTATTTTTTAGTGTTACTTTGAGACAGGACAAAAAAAGAACCAGATTATTACAGTTTGAATTAATATTTTACACGTGTAGAGACCAAGTTCAACACATGATTATGAAAAATATTTACCCGAAAACAGTGTCTGGTAATAAAGGAGTTTGTGTGTGTCTGTGTGTGTGTCTGTGTGTGTGTAGGCCTTTGAGTTTGTTTCTATAACATGGCCAATGTTTTTTTCTTATGCGTGCAGTAGATATCACAACTGACTGTACAGAATTTGTTTATTTGTACATGTCGAAAGAGCTGTGCACAAAAAAATGTGTGTCCATCTGCGTGTGTGTGCATACGTGTGTGTGTGTGTGTGCATACGTGTGTGAGAGAGCACCAGTCCGGCCCCAGGCACCGCAGCTATTAGGCATTCCCCAATCAATCTGGAAAACGTCCTCCATAATGCAGGCATGGCCGTGAGGGCTCATAATTAAGCAGCTGATTAGAATTTGCTCTGCACAGATCATGTCTAATGAAGGAACAATGAAGGTCCCACATGACAGGTACATCTATCTGTCTCTTAACTAAATGCTAATTGTGTCCTCTCAGCACCTGAACACTTTTGCGTCTTCCATTTCTCCAGAAGCTTGCACTCCAGCAAATTAAGTAGCTGCTGCCATTTTTGTCCCATTTCACCCTCGTCTTTGTTTTGTGCCATTTGTTGACAGAACCCAGGGGTGGATTTCGGGGATGTCTCGGAGCGCTTGGCCTTAAGGAAAAGACTGCAGTGTCGGAGTTTTCGCTGGTATCTTGAACACGTGTACCCAGAGATGCGGATCTACAACAATACCATCACATATGGCGAGGTGAAGGATGTTCTTACTATAGGAGATATTGTAAACAAAAGGCACATTGCTATTGACATAGCATCATTTTATTAGAGAGTAAAGTGGAGCTATTATTAAAGAGTATGCAGATGCCAAGACAGATCGTTCAGTCCCCAGAGTTCAAGAACAAATTTGAACTCATGATTGTTTGAAGCTTTTTTCTTTGAGTCAAATAGAATATCAGAAAGCAACTCTTATCATCTTTAGTTCATAGACAATTTTTCTAAAGAAAGCACAACTCTAATAAAGTCACATATGTGTAAATAAAGGGTCAGAGTGTCTCACTGACCTTCTCTAATAAATATTATTACAAATAAAAAGAAAGAGGGAATGAATTCACTGGTGCGGGTCTGGGCTAAATGTATAATGTTGCTATAGCTGAGTGACATCACCACACAGAATTAGATGTAATTTCCTTTTAATGAGATTTAATCAAACACTTATTTGTTTTCCATTTCAACTTGATTGCGTTGGGCTTGGCTGTACACTCAGCACAGTGGGGGAGAAAAAAGAGCGCCTCACAGCAGGTTGAAAAACTGAGCACGCTCCTGAGTCAGACACCATTTGAAGACTTACTGAAGTGATCCATTTTTCCTCATATCACTTTGAATATTGGGGAAAAACAAGAAAATCAGAAAGCCCTGCATGTTTCCAGACATCAGAATTAACCTCAAAATTCATAAAAGATATGTAAATATCCCCACCCCATGTTTCCCCTGCCACCTGTTTATGCTCTGGCTTGCGGCTAATGGATTTCTCAGAGTGGCATCCACTTAAGGGGCACTATTTCAGATGGGTGGACAGGCTGGGGAGCCCATACCTTGTGGTGCCACACAGCTGCTGCAGTAGAAGTGAGCCTCATCTGTCACTGAGCCTCTCGCTCAGCCACGCTGACCAGACTGGCCAAGTGGAACCGTCCCCTGACAAGAGCACATGATAGATATGTCACAACCTGGAAATGAAGCCATATGCATTCAAATTACACAGAGCGGAAGCTCATGCTCTATGCACACCATCATCTGGCCCAGAGGCGGTAGGTGGTCACTGTATGATGATTACTTGTCAAAGCCTGGTCATCACATAATAAAACAACTCATAACACTGTTGGGTGAAAAAACAAAACAATGGATCAATAGGAAGTAGCACAACTTGCTCCTATAAAATACAATTTTCCTCATGAATATGTACTATTGTGCCATGCTTTTTGACTTTGCTACTACTATCAACCCTGATTGCCTAGTATCCTTAAATTCTCAGCATCCTCTTGTCTATTCTTTCAGGTGAGAAACAGCAAGGCCAGTGGCTACTGCCTGGACCAGGGTGCAGAAGACGATGACAAAGCTATCCTGTATCCCTGCCATGGCATGTCCTCCCAGGTCAGACCAGAGCCATCAGATATTCATCTGTCCATGTCGACTGCTTTTCATTGAGTAGCATTTTGTTAAGTAGCATTTAATCCAGCCGCATTATATATTGAAGCAACCAGTTACGGTGTCTCCCAAACTATACCTTTTTTTTTTCCAAAATGCAAAATCTAAAAACATCTCTGTATCAAATTTCATCATTCAAATATGAAATTGAACTAAATGTGCAACTCTGTTTCTGATTACCCTCACGATGAATTGGTATAATAACTTGTTAGTTCTTCACAAAAACTTAATCAAATGGAGAAAAATAATCATAAACTACCACACATATCTATAGGACCTTGAAATGATGAAAGAGATGGATTTAATTTTAACAAGAGTATTCATGTAAATGTAAGTAAGATGAGATCAGTTTTCTCATTAGTTTTAATTAATAAAATGGCTTCTGTGGAAATGTTTGTTTTATTTTAAGTCAAGGTTACATGAAAAAGTATGAAATCACCATGGTCTCCACATTATATGCATGGTTGGCTTTTATTGGATAGAGGAAGAGCCTGTAAATGCAGAGTATTAATGCTCAATGATGTTTTGACCTTTTGTAAGGTCCTACGGAGGGTATCGGGCTCCTGCTCCCTGCAGTAAACGACACTACTCACTGGCCCTGATCTAACAAACTTTGAGGGCTTGTCTTGCTCACACATGCTTATTCTGTGCAATTCAACCCAGCAATTTTCCTCTGCATATCTACACAAGATAAACATACACCTTTATTGGCTCAAGAAATCATGTGCATTTTTTATCAGCTAAGCTGTACATCCCGTATACAAAGCCAGACATTTTTCTAAAAGATTTTACTGCTCTATTTGTTTTAGAAAATCTGCCCTCTGCTGCTGATAAATGCCTTTTGCTTTGTTCCAGTAGTCAGCTGTTCTGCGTGAGATAGTAAAGGCCAGTTTCACTGGCATATATATCAAAATGAGGCCTTGAAAACAGGATCATACCAAGAGAACCAGATTTTGGCTGAATCGTCTTGCCAAGCTTTATTGAAAAAAATGCACTTACTGTATGTCCCCTCTGCTCCGGTTTTATTTTACAGCCCTGGAGGTCAGCTTGTGGGAGTAGTATCCAGTCTCATTATTCCTACCAAATATTTAGTTATTCATCTCACCGTCGTTGTCTACATTCTACATGAATATGGAACCACAGGGGAAAAAGCATGATACATTTCCAATGGAAGTTTTTAAGAGCCACTACCTCGTAACCACAAATTTAAGTTACTTTAAACTTCTTTAATCATTTGACATCTACATTGGAACATCTAAAATGGAAAAATGTTGCTTTGCATTTTTTTCCATCTCTTTGGACAATAACAACAACCAGAATCAATGAAAATGTTCAAAGATAGTGGGTAAAAGTACTTTAAAAAGTACTTAGCGGTAAAAGTATGACATTTCAATAAATAAACGCCATAGCTCATGCTTAATCTAGTCATCACAAATTTACTTTTAGAGCTAGTTTAGCCTATAACTGAGATTAATCAGTGAACAACAATGCCAACATTGCACTTGGTGTTCAGATTATTTCAGAGTTCCTGGAGAACATGCCAAAGTGCATTTCTGAGTTAGTCATGATCCGTATAGACTGCCTCCTCCCTTCACATTGTTCCAAAAGGGTACATATTATTGAGCTTGGATCTGTGTAAAACCATCTGTCACACTACGTTTCCTACATTTGCTAAGGATGTTTCTCATATCTCTGCTGAAGAATATTGTGGATCCTTGTCACATGACCTAAAAAATAATGTATTCAGAACCAAACAGAAACCTCAAAAATGGTACTGCATGATAAATGAGGTTCAAAATATCTCCCACAGCCCAAATTTGTCACACTGACAATCTGTGTGCAGGAGTATTATTATTAATAATGCTTCAGCAGAAATGTCTGGTGTTTGACCTGCTTGGCAGAGACAGTAGAGGAGAACTAAACAGATGACATTAGGTTGAAAGACAAAGAGTCAGAATCAGAAGTTTTACAGATTCTTATTCTTCATATAGAGAAAGCAGAATGAGAGGCTCCATGACAGTTACTGTTATACCAAATCCCAAACTGCATCATGATCATTTCAAATATGGTTAGGATGTGAAGGAAAAGCTAAAAGCTGGAGTGCTCCCAGACGACAGAGCGTGTAATTATGAATATACAGAGAGACGCTGCTGAAAAATGAATGTGTTTACAAAGCACAACCTCCTCCTGAATAGACACCTGAGCAAATGGCACTGTGGGAGGGAGGCCATTGATTTGTGCTTGTTGTTTTGTGAAATCAAAGACCAATTCTGAGCACAATCATGCCAGTGAAATTCATGCATCATTTTTCTTTTATGTTCGCAACTTTCCTAACTATTGTATTTGCTTGTGACACATCCATTATCCGTTATTTGAGTGTTATAAGGATGCAGGCGGCTCGATCGGGTCCTTTTTAGACAGTTCTGTGTGTCCTTTTTATCTGCATCCCCGGAGGATATAAACAAATGGAGATGAACTTTGCGTCTTTGGGTCATTAGATTACAGCAATGACCAACATTACTGAGAGTGGACCCAATTCAATTTGTAGGACGCTGTGATTTTGCATTCCCTTTTGCTTCTGTTCCATTCATCTATGAAAAAGCATAATTATCAAAAAGTAAATCTCCCGGTCCGAGACCCACTGCCAGCTTTCCAATAATTTTGTTATTCACCTTACTGTCAGTGTCTACATTGCGGCCGTACACAGCTTGAATGGCTGTCCAGTAAACAGATTTAGCAATTGTCTGTTCAAGCAAGTTATTTATTTTTTCCTGGAATTCAAATTTGAGTGATAAGCTCTCAAATGCATTTAGAGGTGTTTGATTTATTTTGTAGGATTATAGTGTTGTTCGTTCCTATTTCAATAGAAATAAAGACCAAGGGAGTGAAGTGAATGCACCATGGAGAATCGCCTTTCTTTTTCTACTATTTCAATTTTTTTTTTGTAAATGAATTAGATTTTAAACTATAACGCAAAGAACCTTAAGACTTCCAATGGCTTTACATTAGATGAGATCAAATCAGCACAACGATGATAAAAATACTAATAAAAACACAATACCCCTTTACAGATTTTTCGACAGGTATGAATGGGCTTGTCACTGACATTTCTTTTAGAAATAAGTGCAACCTTAAATATCACAGCACAATTTATTATCAAGAGGCCGAGTCTCTTTGAAAATCCTGAACATCGTCAATTTTTTATGAATTCAAAACCATAACTGGAGTGGTATTTTGTGTGGTTGTTTCCAACAGCTCTGTCACTCGTCTGTTAGTTGATACCACGCAAGCTGCTTGGAATTTAGAAGCAATATGTTATTACAGTTGAAACGCTAGTGTGAAACATGTTGTTCGATTTTTTAAAAGATTTTTTAAATACTGTTAACAAACAAAGGTTTTTAAGACTGTCTCGAGAAAGCAGTGCCTTGCTTTCGGCAGCTGACTCGAAAAAGTAAGGCTCAAAATTCACCTGTTTGTCCTAAACACTGTTCTTAGGCTCATTTCTCTAAAAAGTCATGCCCACACCACCTGTGATTGTACCCCTTTACTGGTTTTCATATTTAGTTCGAAAAAATTTTTTGCTCTTATGCTGCTCTTAAATGTATTTGCACTTAATCATCTCAAACATATTGACCTATCATGTGTCCTCAAAGTTCCTGGAAACAGTTGAAACAGACATACTAATTGTTCCCCCGAACGCAGTTGTAATGAAGAAGGATTAACTGTTTTCTCTTGGTCCCATTTTACAGAACGTTCTGCCCACTGGCACATTGTTTGCAGAAACTTGAAAATCTGTCCTAAGATTTTCTGCCAAGTGACCATTTATGTGAAATAATTCAGCACTGACAACATATAAAGTAGTGAATCATTCTAAAACTCTTCTTTTGAATATTGAAATCAGCATCATTATTGCTGCGGCATCTACTCCCGTATTTGGTCTGACCATGACAGATTGTGTCTGAAACTGTAAAAGAGCTCTTGTGCATATCTGTACATGAATGCATCTAAATTAATTTAACTTAAACTCCCATGCTGCCAGGCTCTATTCACATGTTAAACCCGCCTATGAAATTTCCTGGAATATGCTTCATACCCTCCAAGTTGATGGTGGGAGAAAAGTTACTACCCAATATGGTGCACAAATGCATGCAGAAGAAACTTGTGATTAGTTTGACCTCCAAAATGTGAACGCTAAACTTTTACAACAGCAATAAGGTAATGGAGTGTCTAATGTTAATTGACTTGGCACAATCATTTCCTCGTGTTAATTATTTGTTATGGTCTCATTTGAAATCTATTAGCATAAAAAAGACGTGCCAGACTGAGCTGCAAACAGGTATTAGCGTGAATTATATAGGGTCTGTGTTTTACCAAACAATGGCTAACATCTTCGTAACAAATCTTCTGAGAACACACAGACAGCTACACAAAATTATATCAGGAATTCTTCATTAAACTGCCAATTATGGCCGTTAGGTTTTTGCCTTGAGGAACATAGAAGAATTACGTGTCTTGCATTGAAGGGAACAAGAAGCATATTTGTGTGTATCTGTTACTTTCCACAGTAGATTAAATTCAACCTGCATCTACTTGAGCTGTCCATCAGTTTGAGTAAAATTTCTCTTTTCCAGTTTGTTAAGGTTTACTCCTTGGGTGAGAAAACCAGATACAAAATTACGTGTAAACGCTCACTCAGACCTTTAACTATCAATTATCTATCAGTAATATGCAACTCTTTTAGTATGATCTGGAAATGCTAAATTCCTGGAGTGGTGGAGAGCAGATTATCAGTGTATGACTGCAGATTAGACTGGCATGTAGATAAATGTGAACCTTTGTAGGCTCCATTTAATGACCTTTAATGACTGTGTCGAACACTGCTGGTTTGGCTTTATGATTTAACTTATCAAAATGTTTTTTAATTTCCATCTGACCTTTTCAATTAAACCATCACAGCAGCTGTTCTTTCGTATCCTCTTATCCAGGATAAGAGGATCGCACCCATGAATGATTTGAATTGATGAATTTTCCCACCGAAGCACATTTCCAACTCTGGCTGTCCACAGATGTCCTTGGAGTTGCAGTGTTTGCTTCTTGAAACTTTAAAACTTTGAAACCCATCTCAACTTTGTGTTGCAGCTGGCCCGCTACTCAACTGAAGGCCTTATTCAGCTTGGACCCTTGGGGTCGACCACCTTCCTGCCTGACACAAAATGCCTCATTGACGATGGCAGAGGACGCACTCCCAGTCTGAAAAAATGCGACGTCGTCACAAGGATTTCTCAAAGGCTTTGGGACTTTACACAGGTGAGGAGAAAGTTCACATTTCACTGACCATCGTCAAACATTTAACGACGGTAAAATGTGACAGAGCAAATGTCAGACATTCATATATGATTTTTCTCAATCTGGTCTTATTTTTCTGTATTTTGTTACAGAATGGTCCGATCATAAACAGAGACACAGGGCGCTGCTTGGAGGTGGAAATGTCTAAAGACGCCAATTTTGGCCTTCGCTTGGTGGTCCAGAGATGCTCAGGTCAGAAGTGGATGATACGAAACTGGATAAAGCATCTCAGGCACTGATAAAATCTCAAAGGAACTTTGTGGTAGCATTTCAAGTCTTAATTGGCCCTCAGACAGTGGGCAGCTCAGAGAGGAAGAGGAATTGGTGGTGCGTTTAAGTGTGGTAACTCACAACAGAGACTGCAAAGCACACTGAGCTCCCCTCAGGCCTTATCGCTTTGCCAACGCTCAGTCTTAAAGAAGAATATGATCAATTCATTTGTTCCGCAGAGCAGCGCATTTCCACTGGACCTTCAGGCAAGCCGCTCTATTTGACAAGCCCTACATTTCGGACTTTCAGCTACGTGTACAGAACACTTCACCTGAGTGCAGTGTTTCCACTGATAAAAGTCTCCGATTACTTGACTTAAGGCCACATATGGGTGCATATGGGTCAAATGACTTTTCTTTCCTGAGTGGATTTAAGCAAATATGGAGAGATAATCATTGTCAACGGCCACATCAAAGATATTCTCTCGACTGGTAATTGGAGGAAATAGCTTTGGGCACTATGCGCTGCCCAGGCAAAAAAGTGTAATAGGCTTTAAAGGGGCCCTCTGTCCTCAAATGGATGTGAGATATTTCACCCGCACTCACACAAATCACCAGGTTTCTTCTTTTCTTTGGACTGTATTGCTCATAATGGACTTGAGCAATCATGTGCCTTTTTTCCCCTTATTTTTTCAGCATATTCTGACCAGGGAATGTCAGCCCTAAGCATGTATAAAGATGTTTGAAAATAAATTATAAAACAATGTACAAAACAGTCTGATTATAGTAATATATTGTAAAAAAGTGGAGAATTAATATCTGTCCTGATAAAGTTTAGGATATTAAAAATGATTTTTATAAAGCGTCTGCTTGTCTTTCTCTTTCTTGTGTTCCTCAGTTCTGCAGAACTGATATCAGCATTCACTTCCTGTACTTGCAGTAACATAAAAACACATTTTCTCACATTCTGAGAGCAGCTAATAATAATCGCAGAACAATTTCTTGTCTTTTGTAGTGACTGCTCTTACGAAAAACACCCAGCCTCCATCAGGTTTCTGTCCTTGTGCCCCTTATTGTTCCAAACTGTCAACTGGAAAACAGGTCTTCAGAAAGAAAGGTTTCCAATGACTGTGCTCACAAAAAAAGCTTTTTTTTACCTGCCTCTCATTTCTTTCTTTTATTTCAGGTTAAGGCAAACCCGGACTGAGTATTCTGTCAAGCTTTTAAAGATTACATTTACATTTACCTCTAAATATAAAAGCATTCTCCTTTTTCGCCTTCTTTGTATTTATTTTATGAACGTGTTACAAATTCTGCCATCACACAGACACAGGAAGAACATACCTCGCAAAATGTTGGCATCGGAAAAAAAAAACATTATTGTATGAAAAAGTATTCCTATAAGGTAGAAATTATTATTATTGCTTAATTCTGACCGAAATGACTTCTCTTCTTTCATCATAGACTTTGTACTGTCTGTTCTGAAAAAAATCAAACACATTTGTTGATCCTGTGTGTGTAGTCTTCCTCTTCATTGTGCTTCAGCCCGGTTACACATTCTAAGGCTGCCATGGAAAGTGAAAAGTCTCTTTTACTAGGGTTAGCCATGCTTCCCAACCCTGCTTGTTCCAAGGGCTCTTTTTAATTTGGTTTCCAGCTGGTTTATCCTGAGAGATTGCCCACTCTTGCCATCGCGTCATGCTTCTTCGGCTCTAATCATTTCGTATAAGCAATGTATCATCTCTGTGTCCTCTGAACAAAGACTGTTCCTGTCCTCTCAAAGTAATATCTTATTCTGTGCCCCGACAAGGTTTACAAACACACTGGCGGGGCAATGTCTCACAGCCCTTTTATAAGGGAAAAGGCATGAATCAGGGAATTATTTTTAAAAAATGTGTTTCTCTGGGTTTAACACCAGCACAATAATGTTACAGCTTCTGGCAGAAGGAGTGGATTCAGAAGGTTACAGTTCTGTGTCTCACAGGCTCACCTGCTGAGTCCATTTACAGCACGCTGTGAACCGAGCTGAGGACAGACATCACCCAGCGCTGCTGTACAGAGCAGGGTCGTGTTCCACTGGCCTGCGTGTGCAATAAAAGAACAAATATCCTGCAAAAAATGATAACAATCAATCTGTTCATTTGGATTTAAATAGGACTGGGGTTTACACATAGTATCTTTTAAATATACCTTTTCACGGAGACGTGTTTTGCGTGACTACTGTCATTGTTGTAACCCGAACATTTGTTTTGCATTAAGATGTCGACATGAGGGACAAATTTTCATGTTTAAAGATAAATTTTTCTGCAAATCACTATTTGAAATAAAGCAATGGACAACATTTAGGAAACATTGATGCAGATGCACAAAAGATCCAGCTACATTGTGTGTGCACGCAGCAGCACAGGAGGCCGGGGCTATAGCATGCTTGATGCAGCAGGTGAAAGGGAGAGTAAGACTGGATTAGGGGTTTCATTTTCCCCTCTGAGTGGATGACAGAAAGAGACAGTGAGTGATTAGCCGATGGAGGATGGGAAAGTGAAGCTAGAGCATGTGTGTGTGTGTGTGTGTGTGTCACTGGAGGCGGGCCGTGCTGCAGGAGGTTGTACGGGGTTGGATGAACAAGGACACTAGATCTGTTTCCTGAGCCCAGACTCTCATTCTTCCTCATTATGATGCTGACAATCCTTTTTTTTATGCCTGGGCTGCTGCCAAGAGGGATAGGTGACTTTTGTATTCAGACGGCTGTAAACTGGGAGTGCAGGAGCTGGTGAGTTTCCTTTCATCAGATACAGCTTCCCAGTATCAGCAGTGCCTGATAAAAAGCGCTTCAATATGCAATATGCTTAGTGGAAAACCACCCAGTACTTCTCTGGATTACCATTCATTGACAATATATACACAAAAGTACCGTCTATGAGATATCCGGGAGAGGTTAATCTGCCTGGAATTACTGCGCAAAGACCTGGACAGACAGTCACCATAGTGCAAACATTTCAATGAGCAAGTTTTGGGGCAGTAGACACATGCTCCTGTGCGATCATCTCTTAGTTTTAACATAAATTTTATAGGTTTACGTTGCAGCTGTTGTCTTTATGTGGCTCTTCTAATCCACAGTATTCGGTTATTACAAAAACAGTTTATTAGAATCATTTTGACCTTTTACCTATGTCATCTAGAATCCATCTCGAGAGATAAGAGAGGGGAAAAAAAGAAAACTCATATTTCCCTGCAGTCTGGATAACAGCCAACTTTATGGTGGCTGTCAGTGGGTCATTTGGGTTTAGTTTAATGTCATGCAGTTTATGAGGGCTTCTTAAGATGAGACGATCATTTTTCTTTACAGTAATTCAGCTCCTTTATTAGCCCTCATCTAAAGCAGCCAATCTTCGCTCTATTCTCGGCTCACATAACAGCAAGGACTTGTCATATAAAACTCCTTCCCAATGTAATGCCCATTAAATACAGAAGCATTTAGGCAGATGCATTTAGATAGAAAAGAACAGTTCGCCATAAATCTACATGTATAAGAGTGGCTCCGCATCACAATCATTCAACTGAAAGCATCCTTCAAACACAGAACAGATTGTAAAAAGGATCCTTACACTTATGCCTAATAAAACTTTATTTTTTGCACAACACAACTTTTTCCTTTTCTTTCTTAAAGGGGAAGGGTGGTTAAATTGAAGCTACTTCATCTCACAGATTATCTGACAGACCACTGAACTGAAATAAGTTGGACAATATAACTCACAACCCGGTCTGATAGATAAATGGGCCAGTAATAGTAATATACGAAACACCTTAATTTACACCAATGGAGAAGTTTTTTGTTTGTTTGTTTGTTTGTTTTGCTTCCCATTCGGCTTTCGGAATTATGTGTTGTGTCTGTGTTAGTTTTGGGTGTGTGTTTGATCACTTGTTTAGGATTGTGGTCTGGATTCTGCAATCAGTAATCTAGGAAAAGAATATTCGTCTGACAAAAATAATTACAAAGTCAGTTTTATGGCAAGTCAATAGGTTCACCGGACCTCGACCATGTTGTATGAAATACTCCTCACAACCAATGCATCATTAGCACCTCGTCACCTCACAGCTACAGGGTTCCTGGTTCGAATCCCGGCCGGGGGCCTTTCAGTGTCTGTGTCTGTGTATTTATTGTTTCACTCTGGTGGTATTCTGCCTTTCTCCCACAATCCATAAACATGTTTGGATAATTGGTGAATATATGGGCCTTAGGTATGAGCTGATTATTCAAGTTATGTTTTGTTAATGTTTTCACATGTTAATGGTTTAATGCATGTTAAATGAATGCATTTGCTCTCATTTACTTAAATGAATTGATTGCAGAAATTACAATTAAATGGTGCTTGTAGGAGTGATTGTAAGTGGTTGTCTGTCTCTTTAGTCTGTGTGAGGCCCAGTGATGGACTGGCCTTCTGTCCAAGGTGTACCCCGCCCATTGGGAGAAATCAGTTGGAACAGGCTCAAATCCCATTTAAAAAAAACAATTTTACCCTTTATTTACACTATTCCATTTGTATTCATGTTTACTTTAGAGTAGCTGGAGGAGTTTAGGAGTTTAAGTGGTGTCAGCAACAGAAAAGCAGAAAGCTAAATAATTCACCCTTTAAGTGTTTGTCAATGCAGAGCACAGCACTCACAGAGGGTCCATATTTTGTCAAGGTGTTTGCTGCTGTATTACGGTGACGGATAAGTTAAAACTGCATGTGAATTGTGTGTTAACACCCCCCAAAAACCTCATGGCAGCTTTAGAAATATAACTAAAGCATCCAAATGGCATGTGTCCCAAAACTTAGCATAGCATAGCAGTTTCAATTCATTTACTTTGAGAAATTTACATTTGTCAGAGAGTAACAACAAAAATGTTAGTGTTACAACAGTGTGGACGGCCCCTGCTTCTTTATCAACAGGTTTGAAAATCATGCTAGCAGTTTAAGAGACGTCATTCTGTTCAAATTTGTCCAGAACTGTGAAGTCTATTTTTTATTGATTCCACAGTGAGCATA